ATCCTATATTTGTCACCAACTTGTCTATGGAAAAAATTCCTACAAAAAATTATATCGTCACTTTCATACCGATAAATACACGAAAAATCTGTTCTGGCTCCCCATCTGAGCACAGGAGTTTCTTCACGAGAGGAACAAAATTCACACAGGGTTCAGACTCAGAAACACAGGAAACAACAGGACTTTACGAGAATATTTGCGTCAACAACATGTATGTTGGCTACATCCATATTTCCCCAAACTGGATAAATATGGTACCTTCTTGGTATGACAATATATAGATATTTATAAGAGATATATTATATATCCCGTATATAATCTTACTGTATATCATACATATAATCTAATTCATTTTTGAATAATTAGTGAAATGTTCTGATATCAGAGAATGGATAGCACTGCGTTCAATATGATACACTAAATTTGTTAGTAATTATAACAAAGTAGCAAGATTTACAATTTATTCGGATAAATAAAAAATGTGAACGGATAGCATAACATTATGTCATAAACATCTTGAGAAATGACATAGAAATGACAATAGAAAGTGACTTATGACTCATAAGTTGATAACTCACCCTCTATTGTGCTCATAATATGAGGACAGCACTGCATGTGTTCATCGATACTATAGCGACCTCGAGATTGTACGATTCTAATTTGAATTCAATATGAATTCAGTTCAATTTTTATTCAAAATCTCTGAAAGGATCACCGTCATTACCATTTTTCCAATTTATAGAAGGAAAAAGCTTTGGCGACGAGCCCTTATATTGCCGCCTCAGCCTGTAGCAGGACAAATCCTATTGGAAGAATCCTAGAGCAATTTTGCTACGTTCCTTAAAGTTAACTGAATTCGAAACAACAAATAGCTATGGATGTTATGCACATTCGAACCTCTATTTCGAAATGCTTCCCAAAACCTGTGAGCTAGTCCGACCCTCGTCTTCTCTCCTAGTAGCCTTTTCACAATTCTTTATGCAGTTCTCCTGTTCCTAGCAGCGACAATAGCGTTATTCAGGTCATGTACCTGGAGAACGTCAGCCATGAATAGCATGTCATTCGAAATTGCACGCCACGAGAAAGCTATAACAGCTCGAAATTGGAAACAGCTGCAAATGTCACGATATAACTTGTTACAACAAACAATAATCAATTATAGATTCTAATACTATTAGGCTATTTTGGGGATAATCGAACTGTCCATTTCCTAGCATAAATGATAGTAGCTCACACTTCAAGTGTGACACTTGAAGAATAGTCAATATATACGATATATATGCATATATATACGACTAGAATAATGGAGTACTATAAGAAAATTATTTTCGAAGGATTAGTAATATTAGCGCTTATGGTCAATTCCCAGGTTCGAACACGTCTGCCTAGTTCTTACAAACAGTGAAGTCGACGATTTCCACGAAACATATCTGGCCAACTTACCTGGTAGGTCGGTGGTTTTCGAAGCACAAGATAAATATTTTGGGTCACAGCCAGTCAAGTTCCA